TCCTTTTGGACTTTATTAGATAATCTAGTTACCTCCAGATTTAATGTAGCAGAAATTATTTTTTCTGAAGCATTGAGGGTCCGCAATTCTTTTTGAAACCTAGAGAGACGAGATAAGACAACGACAGCATCAGGGGATGTTTCCTCTAAGATTTTAGATATTGTTTTTACTTCTCTTTCGCTAAGTTTATCTCGTATAATACGCTGAGCCATTTCTTTAATAGTCTCCTCAAAACCAGTACTATCTAATACTTGACATATATTTACTTTTTCAGCTTTCAACCCTGGTCCCTTTGGGACTGGTGCTTGACTTTTGCATCACCCAATTCTCTGAAGAGGAATCAATGCAAATGCCTGCTCTTTGCTAAAGCCATACCCTTTTATAAGACGATTATGAGCCTGGTGCCTTTTTTCTTTATTATCTGTTAAGAGCTTAAGTATTTCTGGTGCATATTGGCTAAGCTCTTCGAGACTAATCTTATTGGTGAGTTTGTGGTCTGTGACGAACTTGGTTGTAATAGCGGACATAATAAGGTATGTAGAATATATGTGGTAGGCAGACTAATCCATAGTATTCAGATTATATATTGTGGAAAAAGTTCAATTCGAAAAATTTCCTCAGAGCTATGCTTCTTCGGAAAGAGGAATATCAGAGACGGTTCTTGTCTAGGTAAAGGGAGCGAAAAAATATTATAACTTATATTGGGTGGTCCTTTTGGGACCCCATCTGCTCTGGCTGGAAATAGGTTTTACAGAATTTGAAATCTGCAAGTAGATAGGATAAGCAAAAAAATAGCCACAGAACCCTCATTCCAAAGCTATAAACAAACTTAAGGTCTAAGTCCTATTTTGTGATTATATTTTAATAAAGTGCTTGCACTAGAGCTAATATATGTTTTGGTCCTAAAACATTTGCCTCAGTGAATGCATCATATAAAGCACCTGGTCTATGTTTCAAAGAAGCTAAATTCGGGTGATAGAGGAATTTTATAAGTACATTACTTCTCCATTCCTGCGTTTTTTTACTATTCCAGTCGATTTTTAATAACTCGTTTGTAGCACTATCATTATATACTTTGAGTAAAATTTCTAACAAACTTACTTTTCCATTAATTAACATAAATAAACTTTTTTCTGGATCATATGCGATCTCAATAGATATAAAAGAAAGGTATTCTTTCAATATTGGCATTTCATTAAATGGCGGAATCAAGAGTTCTTTCTCTTTCCAATGCATATAGCCTTCACGTAGCAATTTATTATATGTTGACCCATTTATAATGATCATGCAATTAGTTTTGGGATTATAAATTTTTTTTTGAGATTTATCTGTTGGTTGGTCCAATATGTTCATAACGTTTGTATAAAAGATGTTTTATCTCATCATAATATCGATTAATTTAAATACACATTTTATTATAAAATTAAAAGTGAAGAGGGTTTTATATCCTAAAATACTTTTGCTTTAGCGCCTCTGACCATGGCTCACCTTACTTGTACACATATCAAGAGGGATGGTACTGTCTGTAGAAATAATTCCTGGTGCCCTACAGGGTGTTATAGACACTGGAAATTATATAAAAAAAATATAAAAAAAAAACCTTGTATTGCTTGTGGATTCCCTACTGCTTCTACCACAAGTTGTTGCTCCAAACATTCTGCCAAGTTTCATGCACTAAATTATCGAATGAGGCAAAAGTACGGGGCTGAGGTCCCAGAAAACTTCTGAATTAACTGCTGGGAAGTGAGTAAAAAAATATATTTCAAATATGTAGGCTTCTGCAGAATTATTATATAAAATATTGGCAGAAATCTACATCTCAAAAATATGTACCCCACCAGATTTTATATTAATATTTCGTTAGGTGAAAGCTTGCTATACCCATATCGAGTATCTTTTTCATTTTCCCAGTAAATTTCTTTTCCTGTTTGGTATGGAGGTAACGCATGAGTGTCTCTACTATCAAAAGATCCAACTAGATGGTAATATCTACAACCCTTGTCTATAGCCTTAAATTTTAACCCATACA